GGAGCGGTTCGCCCGCCCCCTTGCCGCGGCCCGCGCGGCGGAGGCTGGGAGTGCCCGTCCGCGCCATCAGCGCACTCAGCACCCTCCTCCTCAGCACCCTCCTCCTCCTCGTCCTCCTCCGCCTTCTCCTCCTCCTCCTCCTCCTCCTCCTCCTCCTCCTCCTCCTCCTCCTCCTCCTCCTCCTCCTCCTCCTCCTTCCCGTGGCCATTTTGGCTCAAGCCATTGGGCATGAGTCGGCCGCGGCGGCGCCCCCCGTGCGGAAGGGCTTTTGTTGCCATGTCCGGCAGCTTGCCGCCTGCTGCGCAGGCGGTCCTCGGCGCGGTGTTCGGCTGCTCGCAGGCTGGGCTTTCCGGGAAGGCGCTGCAGGCGGCCGTCGCGGCGGCCGCGCGCGGTGCAGTGCAAGGAGCTGCGGCTGGCGGCCAAGTTCCGCAAGACGCTGGCGAGGGGGGCGCGCCGCCCCCCGCTGCGTCGCCGGTTGAGACGGCTCTCCTCTCCATGGAGGTCTTACCGCGCGAGGTCCAGGCATGTGCGGGCCTCGCGGCGAAGCCCAGCGTGTCGGAGGCCAAGGCTCTTCTTCGCGGGCGTGGCGCGGCCGCGCTCGCCTCGCGGCTCGGGAAGGTCTCGAAGCTGCGCAACACGGCGGGGCACCCCGACGTGTCGCTGTGCCAGGACATCCACGAGGCGTTCGTGGGGTCCGTCAAGGTTGACGCGAACAGCTCCTGGTCGCACGGCGCGGAGAGCTACGACATATCCTCCAACGTGGAGTCGGGGGAGGAGGAGCTGGAGCTCAAGGAGGAGCAATTCGGCAACATCCCGGCTTTCCCGTTGCTGGTCGACAGCGGGGCGGGCATGGGGGGAACCCCAGTCGGGGGATAGCGCCGTGGTCGAGGCCATCGCTGACATCAAGGACATCACCATGATTTGCGGGCGGACGTCCTGGGCATCGATGGCGCTGTGGCGCCGCTCGTGGACGGCGGCCACATGGAGCCGCGCATGGATGAGTCCGTGGCCGTGCCCATGGTCTACGCGCAGGAGTCGCGCTACGTGGAAAAGATCGAGGAGGTGCCGCAAGCCCTCCAGGAGAGGGGCGTGGAGGCGTCTGAGGACCCAGTGCCGGAGTTGCACTGCGTGGAGAAGGTCCTGGAGGATGACGGCATTCGTAAGACCGTCAAGTGCGAGAAGTTGCTGCAGACGACCGCGGAGGTGCAGGACGAGCAGATCTTGAAGCAGAATGAGAAGACCGGCGAGGCGTCGCACTCCCTGGAGCAGGATGCCATGCCCAAGCAGCAGCAGAAGGTGGAGTGCGAGGCGGTCGAGGACGGCTCGGACTCGCGCGGCCTGGACGCGGACGAGGAGGACGCAGACGACGATTGCCCTCTCGAGGACGCGGACGGCACCAAGGTTGAGAAAGGCGCTCTCCCCTGTGCGAGTGTGCGTCATGAGCTGCTCGCCGTAATGCGTGAGATCAACCCTGATGTGAGCGATGGGGCGCTCGACGCGTTTGCGTGCTTGAGCCTGGAGTCGCAACAGGGTCTCTAAGAGAAGTACAGGTGTGCTCTCGCCGCCGCTGCCTGGGCGGCCGTGGCGGTGCGTGAGCCTCGTTGCTGTGCGTCGGGCGTGCTGTTGAGGGAGGGGCTTCGGTGGTTTTCCTGCGTGTGGTAGGAGGCACAGCCTGGAGGATAGCGCTGCGCGCGGCCCCAGGTGATGCTGCATACCTCTCAGGGAGTGGCTACGGTGGACTTCCCTCGTCTGGAGGGAGGCGCGGCCTGGAGGGTAGCGCGAGCAGCGCAGCCCCAGGTGACGCCGCAAACCTGCGTCTCGAGCCTTTCGCCAGCAGTGCGTGCTCGAGCATTGTTCTGTCTCTCTTTTCGGGTTGTTCCCTCCCGTCTTGACTGTTTTGAGGCGCCGTCCCATCCTATCTCATCCTTTTTCTCCTCCTCCTCCTTCTCCTCCTCCTCCTCCTCCTCCTCCTCCTCCTCCTCCTCCTTTCCCCCCCCATCCTCTCATCCTCCTCCTACCTCCTCCTTGCTCCTCTGCTCATCCTCCTCCTCCTCCTCCTCCCCTCCTCCTCCTCCCTCCTCCCTCATCCTCCCCTCTCCTCCTCCTCCTCCTCCTCATCCTCTGATCCTCCCTCCATCCTCCTCCTCCCTCCCTCCCTCCCTCCCTCCCTCCTCCTCCCCTCATCCCTCCTCCTCAGCCTCCTTCGCCCTACCTCCTCCTATTCCTCTTCCTCCTCATTCCTCTCCTCCTCGTCATCGTCGCCCCCCTTCTCCTCGTCCTCGTCCTCCTCCTCTTTGCTCCTCCGCCTCCTTCTCTCTAATCTCTTTCTCTCTCCTCCTCCTCCGCCTCGCCCTCCTCCTCCTCGATCCTCCTCGTCATCGTCGCCTCCTCCTCCTCCTCGTCCTCGTCCTCGTCCTCCTCTGTTTCCTCCCTCGCCCCCTTCTTTCTTATCTCTTTCTCTCCTCCTCCTCCTCCTCTTCCTCCTCCCCCTCCGCCTCCTCTTCTTCCTTTTCCTCACCCTCATCTCTTCCTTCTCGAGCTCCTCCTCCGCCGCCTCCTCCTCCTCCTCCTCCTCCTCCTCCTCCTCCTCTTGTGTTCCTCCGTTGCCCCCTCCTCTCCCCTGTTCCCCCCATTGCCCCCTCCTCTCCCACCCCCCCGCATCGCCGAGGGAGACCTGCTCTCAGATGGCCACGGCTCGGCCGCGTCGGATGCATCGCTTTCGATTTTGAGGATCGAGGGTCCGTCGCGATGACGCACAGGTTCGAGGGTCGAGGTTGGAACCATTTGCGGCATCTTGGGCTGTCCTCGTCGCCGCGTTTGGACGCAGCTCGAGAATTTCTTGACGCTTCGCGCATCCCCCGCAACCCATCCAGAAACGATGCCCATGGGAATTGACAAGGGAGAGAGGAAGACATAGTCAAACAGCGAGGGAGGCTTGGGAGGCTCCGTGGCCATCTCGAGCCGTTTTAAGGCAGTGTTGGGGCCGCTTGGAGCATATTGGGAACCATTTTGAGCCAGTTTGGGCTATCTGAACCATCCTGGAGGTCATCTTGGACTCTCAGAGGCCGTTCGGGGGCCTCTCGGGTACCTCTTGGAGCCCTCTTGGGGCCTCTTGGGGCGTTCTTGGAGCCCTCTTGGGGGCCTCTTGGGAGCCCTGGTGCGCCTCTTGGGGCCGTTTTGGAGGCGGTCGGTCAAAACATGGGGGTCATCGAATCCCCCCCCCCCCTCTGGGTGGCCACGATCCTCGTTAAGGGTGTCAAAAGTTGGCCCTCCCAGGGGCCGAAAACGGACCCTCTGACACATCGACCCCCCTCCCCAAAAAGAATTTCAGGGAAGGGAGGGGGGGGGGGGTCCCCTCCCCAAAGGAGAGTGGTTGTGGAAGAGAACAGAAACCCTCCTGACCACCTGTTGCCCCAAAGGCTGGAGGGACGTGGACGTGCCAGGAAGGGCTCCTGGAGATGTCCAGGGATCGACGAACCGATGTGAAGGAAGGGTAATGTCGTTCCTCATGACAAGGAAGGCAGTACCCATCATCATGACCGATCTGAATGGGGCACTGCCGTACACGGGTGACGACCACGTCTCGGGCGTGCACGGCAAAGGGCACTTAACCCCAAGCAGCGCTGCACTCCGACCTCTCCTTGAGGGATGGGGCATGTGCAGCATCGGCACTCACTGGGACCTCCCCCCCACGTTCGTAGGCAGCAACGGGCAGTCGCACATTGACCACATCCTCACAACACGAGACCTCCGTCAGGCCACGGAGCGGGTGATGGTAATGAGGAGGTCTGCTCGTCGACTCCAGCTGCATCGCGGGCACGAGGATAGGGACCACAGACCTGTATGCGCGAGCTTCGTCCTGCAGTGGCCCGCCCTCCCTGGTAGAGAACAGCAGCGTGCTCCTCGTGCGAACCGTGAAGCTCTTTATCAATGCCTGCAGGTAGGGTACAAGAGACGGGAGGTCCTCTCTCGGATGGAAGAGCTGGCGGAAGTAAATGCCGATGAGTTTGATGCAGCCAAGGCCAGGGAGGACATTGATGAGATGAACACGTTGTTTATTACCACCCTGAACACCGCTGTCTCCGACGTCCTGCGCGACAGCCCGCTGTGCACAGAAGATCGTAAGGAACACACCAGAGAGCTTCGAACACTACTGGCACAGAGGAGGAGGTACAAAGAGGAGCACGATGAGCACAACACCGAGAGCACGAGCGAGCGCATCAGGCACATCAGCAAGCACTTACGGCACACTGCCAAAGAATACTGGGATGCTATCCGTGCTCGAAGATGTGCCGAGATGAAGCAAGCCCTCAAAGAGCAGAACGGGTACATGGTCCAGAAATTAGCTCGGCTTATCGCTGGAAAGAGAAGGGGGCCCCGACAAAGGAAGTTCGCCGTCGTCCCTGGATCCACAGCGTCAGCAAAGGCGTGGGCGCAGAGGTTGAAGCTTGAGCCCGAACATGGAGGCTGCAGTGCGATCCCTTACACCATAGAGGAGACGAGGAGGGACATGCAGGAGGAGGTGCGGGAGAGGGTGGAGGACAGCGAGGCCGTGTATCGTGCTGCGGAGGATTGGAGGGAGATGGCGGTTGCAGTCTGGAAACTAAAGTGTTGGAGGGCTTGGCCGTCGTGGAGCACACCTCCCGAGTGCTTGCGAATAGTGTTCCACCCCCGCAAAGTGAATGAGAGACGACCGCAGGCTGCAGTGGGTGTTGGATTTCATCAGGAGCTGCCCAGGATAGTCCACACGCGTGGTATGCTGCAGGCAATACTGGGCACGTGCAGGCGAGTTCAGCGGTATCCCGTCCACTGGCACTGTGCCCAGGCTGCCCGTATCCCCAAACCCAATCGGAAACTGGAGTGTGACGGGGAGAGGCTGATCATGATGATGTGCACCCTGGGTCGGACCTACAACGCGGCCATGCTCAAACGTAAGAAGCCCCCATGGATTGCACCCGAATGGCTGTATGGAGGGATACATGGGAGGAGGAGGGAGGCGG